TGTTTGGCGTGAACCCTTCTTTTTTTGCACTTTCAAAAGTTGTAGGGTAATGTGACGAACGATTTGTTCTTTAATGTAACTTCTCCAAAAATCAATATTTTTTAAAAGTGTAAAAGCAGAAAGTTACTTACATTTACTGGTCATATTTCAGAAAAATTTGGATTCGAAATTTCAACGTAGCCAAATCCCACAGCGTTTGGTGTAAATCATCCTTTTCACAAACAAAAAAATACATTTTTTTATATATAATTTACGGAAAAGTTATTTTCGATACGGAAAAGAAGGAAGTAATAAGATAATGCCCAAACTTACAAAAAAAAAGGTCAATGTGCAATTTTTTTAAAATTAAATTAAACTGACGTCACTATTATTATATTTTTATTACAAATAACACTGTGCAGCATTTTTACTGTTTTTTAAATTTACCTCGACGGATGCTATATTTTTGGATTCCTTACGAATTCCCAAGTTAAACTGCGTTTCCCAAAAAGTTTCCCGACGCAAGGATTCTTAGCAAAAGGACCTCAAAGTTGGAAAAATGCTGAAATTGGCCAACTTTTCGGAGCTCCCAGAGGCAAACGGATTCATGGTTTGATTCGATGTTAAAGTTTTTTAAAAAAAAAACCCTTTATCATTCAAACCCCTTACTTAGAATAATTTTAGAATTTGTATTAAGGGAGAAACAAATTTTAGAAAACATAGTCAAAAAACATAAAAGCATACAGCTGCGGTCAAAATAGTAGAGGTCTTGCCGTCCTGTGTTTTTAAAAGTTTGTTGTTGTAACTTTTTTTATCCAATTAGTCTAATAGTAAAATTATAATCAATACAATATTACCAGGAAAAGATCAATTACAACAACAAACTTTTAAAAACGCAAGGCGGCCACACTACTACTATTTTGACCGCAGTTGTACGTTTTTAGTTTTTTGACTATGTTTTCTGGAATTTATTTCTGCCATAAAAAAAATCCTAAAATTATTTTAAGTATGGGGTTTGAAAGATAAAGGGTGTATCTTTTAAAAAACTTTAACATCGAATCAAACCATGCATCCATTTGCCTCTGAGAGCTCCGCAAAGTTGGCCAATTTCAGCATTTTTCGAACTTTGAGGTCCTTTTGCTAAGAATCCTTGCGTCGGGAAACTTTTTGGGAAACGCAGTTTAACTTGGGAATTTGTAACGAATCCAAAAATATAGCATCCATCGAGGTAAATTTTTGATGCTGCATAGTGTAATCAACGATAACAATTAAAATTCTTGAATAAAAAAAGTTCGTCACAATACCCTACAAAAAGTTCGTCACGATACCCTACAAGGTGGACTTGGAGCAAAAACGGTGTCACTCTCAAACGGCGCAAAAGAAAAAAACGCGAAGTACCAAAAACTGTTGATAAAGATTTCATGTATACGTGCATATATTTGCCTGATTTTATTTTCCACTCATCTTTGCTCTGGCACTGCTGAAACACAAGTAAATTGAATAGGTTTGCTAGTTTGCGCACAACATTTTTAGCGAAAATTACCTCACGAACAAATTACGGGACTTCTTATTAATATTACTGTAAATACATTGTCGACACGATAAGGGGAGACTACTACATTTATTTGGAATTTTTGTCGAGACGTCATATATGAGATACGACGAGTTCGTCACATTACCCTACTGGTCAAATTACCCTACACTCCCCTAATTGTTTCATAATTATGTGAATAATAAACTGTTATAAATAAAACAAACTTACTTTTTGTTCGACTTAAGTCGCCTTCTCCGTCACTCGAGCCCCAGACCTTAAAATTCTGGAAAAAATTGGGTCTGAATCGTGTGTTAGAGGAGGTGTGCACTAAGAAAGGACTTTTTAAAATTCGGCTCCTAAGGACTCCCAGGATTCTCGAAAAATTCGAAATTGCTTGATTAAAACATCAACTATTCCCACAGTTTTCAACCAAACAAGTTGATATTTTTATTTTAAGCTTTGTTTGTGAAAATCTTTGAAAGCCCAGAAGATGAGCCCCAACCGACTTCCTGTTGGGGCACTTAATTAATATTTCCGCACCGATTATGCGATCGGATCCGTTTTTGGTTTAAAGTATGGAGCTATGTCATACAATCAGTAAGGTATTTTTTTTTTTTGACCCACGGTTGATTTGATATGATTTTTTTTGTAAGATTGCGGGGGTGGCAGGGGGTCTTTTTGGCAGCATGATGTTTTCATACCCTTGCAGAGGGTATTATGATTTCAGTCAGAAGTTTGCAACGCAGTGAAGGAGACGTTTCCGACCCCATAAAGTATATATATTCTTGATCAGCATCACAAGACGAGTCGATCTAGCCATGTCCGTCTGTCCGTCTGTCCGTCTGTCCGTCTGTCTGTTTCTACGCAAACTAGTCTCTCAGTTTTTGAGCTATCGGAATGAAACTTTCGCAAAAGTCTTCTTCCTATTGCAGGTAGTATATATGTCGGAACCGACCGGATCGGACAACTATATCTTAATGCTCCCATAGGAAGGATCGGAAAAAAAAACTTAAAAAAATTCTAGCTTCGGTGTTTTTTGAAATATTACCTTCTACTTTTGGGGATGTTATTTTTTAAATATTTCTGAATTTCGAATTAATTATGTAAAACTAACTATACTATCATATAGCTGCCATAGGAACGATCGGAAAATTAATGGAAAAGTAATAGGAAATAAATTCTAGCTTCTTTGGTTTTTATTGTATTATCTTCTACTCTAGGATATGACTCTTTTTAAATATTTCCGAATTTCAATTTTAATTTGATCAAAATCGGACGACTATATCATATAGCTTAATGAGAAATATTAGAAAATTGAACATTTTTGCGATTTGTTAATTAATAGGAATGATCTGCAAGGGTATATAAGCTTCGGCTGGCCGAAGCTAGCTTCCTTTCTTGTTGTTTTTTGTTTGCTTCGGCAGTTCGCACCACTCACGAACGTCAGCAGAAGCAGAGAGAGAGTAGTGAGCAGAGAGAGAGAGTCATTTGAAGCGAAAGAGAGGCGGCCAATGTTTTTTTCTGGTTTGAAAATACCTGATCAAAATTGTACTATTTGGATACCAGAACGGATTATCTAATGGATGCCATTCTAAGTCAAAGTGTGTAGCAAACCCATAAAATTGACAGGGAATTTTTGTTTTGATTTTAATAGAATTTTGGATTGGTTTTCAGTCGTCACATTTGCATGTACATAAATATGTAATGATTCAATTAGGATAAAATAACGGATCACATAATGGATGTAATTGTAAATCAAATATTTTGAAAAAAATTAAAAAAAATTGTGTTTACATTGTGTTCAAGACGAAGAAAATTGTTGGGAAATTTCGTCTCCAAAATTACACCCACTGTTTTCACCCAAAAGAGTTGGAGCTTTATGTGCGTTTTTAATTTTCCTTATTTCCGGAATTATTTAACTCCAGCTATTGATCCCCAGCCGACATTGGAGCACTTCTTTTTTTGTTCACCTACCAATCCTGCGAGCGGATCCGTTTTACGCTTAAAGCATTTTGGCCGTAGCCTTTCACAGAAAGAGTGTATCTTTTAAAAAACTTTAACATCAAAACAAACCATGAATCCGTTTACCTCTGAGACCTCCGGAAAAATAACCAATTTCAGCATTTTTCGAACTTTGAGGTCCTTTTGCTAAGAATTCAAAAAATATTTTATTTTTAAAAATAATTTAAAACAAGAGAGAACGCTATAGTCGGGTGAGTGTCCCAACTATCTAATACCCGTCACTCAGATAAAGGGAGTGCGAGGGAGATGGATATATAACATTTTTTTGATTGCGCATAACTTTTTAATGAATGGTCCGATTTTAAAAATGTCTTCTACATGTTGATTAACTATTGATGCCGTATACAGAACCAAATTGCTCTTATACTTTTCGGAAATCTTTAAAGATGTGGGCGCCAGACACATTTTAAAATAGTTAGTGGGCGATTGTGGGCGTTAGATGGGGCGTGGCGCCCGGCTGAAATAAATTTGCGCTGCGTAGGAAGCCCAAGAATATGTGTGGGAAATCTCAACCATCTAGCTTTTGTAGTTTTCGAGATCTCAGCGTTCATACAGACGGACAGACAGACATGACTATATCGACTCCGTTAGTGACCCTGATTAAGAATATATATACTTTATAGGGTCGGAAACGCTTCCTTCTAGCTTTCGCACGAATACAATATACCCTTTTACTCTACGAGTAAAGGGTATAAAAAGTTGATTTTATGACAAAAAAAATTGACTTTGTTATAACGAATTCAAATTTATCGCATCCGTCGACGTTTAGAAGTTTTAGATGTAACATAGTAATTATAGTTATTATCTACTCCTAAATCTTGTCAAATTTCACCGCATTTAGGAGTAGATAATAAAATCAAAAAAGCGGTTTCATTCGTTTAATAAATCTAATAAAATGTTCTCATGAAAACGGTTTAAATCGAAATTAAAGCATACAATGAACAATAGATTCAAGGAATAGTTAAAATTAGTTCCATTTAAGATTTAATTCTCATATTTCTTTTTTCATCAGGGAAATCTTGAAAATTTTGGGATTTTCAACTTTGGCGTCGAATTCCAAATAAATGGGCAATGGTTGACAATGGGGAGTATTTTTTAGGAATGCCGTGATGTATTGAGCGTAGATTTCATCGAAAATAATAATGGTTAGTCTAATTATATAGGCCACATAATTTGAAATGTCGGCAAACATCGGTTTTTTGTATTCTTAGCTATAGCGCGGAACCTGTAGGTGATGGGACGTAAGTTTGTATGGGACTTTTACTCAGGAGCACCCAATTATCATGGAAAACTAGAAATGATTCCTGGAAATTTCACAAAGTTCAGTTTTGTGTTCCTGTGTAAGTCATGGCAAATTCTAGGAGTAAGATTATAAATATGTTCCGGGTCGGAGTGGTTCACAACCCTGATTTTTTACAATTTATCTCTGGCGACATTATGAAGTACATATATTTTCTTATCTTAGGTGTATGAACTTGAAAGAAGATTTAAGCAGCAGAGGTATCTCTCCGCCCCTGAACGAGAACACTTGGCCAGTCTTATTCATTTAACCCCAACACAGGTGAGTAAAAGAGAATATTATAATATTGATCAGACAGATTTCTATAACACTAGTTTACAATTTTAGATTTTTTTTTATATAAACGCTGGGACCCATTTTTTTGGTTTGTTGAGTCACTGATGACGATGAAAAAAAATTTTTTTCCAAAGAATAGTTTTGGAGATATTTCAAATTTTAAATTTCTGACAACTTGTTTTATTAAATGTTACAGTTCCTAAAATGTACTTTTTAAACCAGGGTCCGTAAATAATATTTATTTATTTTTTATACCAAAAAAATCATGTTCAAAAAAAAATCCTAGAAAAAAAATAACTCACTTTTTAAACGCCATAGTTTCAATATCCGGTTTAATTTGTATTTTTCCAATTTTTATTTAAAACTCGAATGATAATCGTTTTTTTTTTTAAGTTTTTTATAAAACTCTAAAAGTAATGTTTATTTTTTTAATTTTTATTTCAGCTCTTGAAATAATGATTATTTATTGAGTTTTATTTTTTGCTTGACAAATAACTTTTTTAATACACTAAGTAAACCATGGCCAACACATTAAGGATATTTTTAAGTCTGTACAATTACCGGGAACCGCCAAAAACAAAGACTAAATAGTTTCCCTATGCTAGCTGAATTCAAAGTATTTATACCCGTTACTCGCAGAGTAAAAGGGTATATTGTATTCGTGCAGTATGTAACAGGGAGAAAGAAGCATTTCCGACCCTATAAAGTATATATGGGCACTTCCACCAAAAGGTCCACCAAGCCAAAAAACTTGAAGCTTGAAAAAAACATATTTCCACATGATTTTGCTGCCATATTAGTTTCTAATTAGTTGGATCCTGAGCTAAACTAAAAATTTGGAGTATAGTTTGATTATTTTTATGACAAGCCCCAATAATATACATAAAAGTTAGTTTTTGGCTATTTTTTGTTATTTTTTGGACCTGTCTTCTGTTGTTAATTTATCCTATAGGAATGCTAATATGTGACATTTTTCTGTACTGAATGCTTCATTCACATGTTAAACTATTAAGTTAAAAGCAAAACATCCAGCAATTGAGAGGTAGAGGTAAAGAAATCCGCTTTACAAAACTGTCGGAAAAAATGTCCCGAGCAACATGTCCCGAGCGAATGATGTTGAAACTGCATAAAAAAAACAACGGCAAAGAATTTTTGAGAAAAACCAAAAGCATTTCACAGCGACATGTTTGAACAACATTCTAAAAAAATCGCATTCAAATATTCCATCAGAATTCGCTAATTTCTGGTGTTGTATGAACTTCCCCGAAATCCACTTCTATTTTTGTCCCGAGCGAATACGGCAGTTTTTTACCGATATCTTAAAAACTAAAAGTGGTACAAAATCAAGATTTTTACAAAATAATAGAGCCTGGGAAGAGTGAAAAGAAAAGCCCATAATTAAAATTAAAATCCATTTTTTTAAAATTTTTTTTTTAAAAAGATTCAAAAAGATTTTTAAAGATTTCTGAGAAATATATTTATATATATCAATGCAATTTTGTTGTGTATATTTATACCTTTCAAAATGTAGAAGACATTTTTCAAATCGGATCATTCATTAAAAATGTATACGCAACCAAAGAAATTTTATAAATCCTCAATCACTTCCTTTAGCCGAGTAACGGGTATTAGATAGTCGGGACACCAACCCGACTATAGCGTTCTCTCTTGTTTTATATGTATTGGGTATTGAAAAAATAATTCAAAATAGAAAATATTTATCCCAAATTAGAAGTTTGCAATGCAGTCGAGGAGACATTTCCGACCTTATAAATCAGGGACCAAAAATAACACTATGCAGCATCAAAAATTAACCTCGATGAATGCTATATGTTCGGATTCGTTACGAATTCCCAAGATAAACTGCGTTTTCTAAAGAGTTCCCCGACGCAAGGATTCTTAGCAAAAGGACCTCAAAGTTCGAAAAATGCTGAAATTGACCAACTTTGCGGAGCTCTCAGAGGCAAATGGATGCATGGCTTGGTTCGAAATTAAAGTTTTTTAAAAGATACACCCTTTATCTTTCAAACCCCATACATAAAATAATTTTAGGATTTTTTTTAAGGCAGAAATAAATTTCAAAAAACATAGTCAAAAAACTGAAAAACATACATCTGCGGTCTAAATAGTAGCAGTGTCGCCGCCTTGTGTTTTTAAAAGTTTGATGTTGTAATTTTTTCTTATCCAATTAGTCTAATAGTAAAATTATAATCAATACAATATTACCAGGAAAATATCAATTACAACAACAAACTTTTAAATACACAGGGCGGCAACACTACTACCATTTTGACCGCAGCTGTATACTTTTATGTTTTTTGACTATGTTTTCTAGAATTTGTTTCTGCCTTAAAAAAAATCTTAAAAATTTTTTAAGTATGGGGTTTAAAAGATAAAGGGTGTATCTTTTAAAAAACTTTAACATCGAATCAAACCATGCATTTATTTGCCTCTGAGAGCTCCGCAAAGTTGGCCAATTTCAGCATTTTTCGAACTTTGAGGTCCTTTTGCTAAGAATCCTTGCGTCGGGGAACTTTTTGGAAAACGCAGTTTAACTTGGGAATTCGTAACGAATCCAAAAATATAGCATCCATTGAGGTAAATTTAAAAAGCACTAAAAATGCTGCACAGTGTAATCGATGTAAAAAAAAAAGATAATCTTTAAAGAACTTGCGCTTTTTATATCATATAATACAGCGCCTTTGGTGATGCCATTTTACCAGTATTTTGCTACATGGACATCATCTATTGAAGGATTCGCGGTTTTTTGTTCATATTTGTGTTCCTCTTTTTCCTCGTTTTTCGGCAACACCTAAGATTCTTCATCATATAAGATTAAAAACCGCGAATTCTTTAGAAACATTTAAGAACAGTGAAGCACCTTAAATTCTTTTTGTGTGTTGATACTAAGAGGCGTATTAGATTTCTTTAAATTTCAGGCGGCATAAGGCCTTGAGTTTGTAAAACTTTTTTAATTTTTCTGCAGTGTAAACTGAAATTGAGTTTTCTCAATACATGTAAGTTAAGAGTAACTAAGTTTAGATGCCTTGCATGGTTACCGGTGTCACTACCGACAGCTAGGAACACTCTTAGGTGCCCATTTTAATTGGAAGGACAAGGCACACGACTGCAGCGTTTCTTATTGTTTTGCTCTACTTGCTTAAGGCGAGTACTTCGTCCTTAGTACATTTGCTAACCACTTTTAAAGCCTAACCTCTTGAATTTAAGGAAATTGGACTTCGAGTTTTATTTTCTGATCAAAAAATAAAACTCAAGGAATAAGTTTTATTTTTCATCTAGAAAAAAAAATAAAATAAAACGTTTTTTGAGTTTTTAAATAAAACTTATAATCATTACGGTCCCTGTTTTGAACACAGGAAAAGAGAACGCTATAGTCGAGTGCACCGATTATCAGATACCCGTTACTCAGTTAAAGGGTGTGCGAGGAAGATGGAAATATAAAACTTTGATCGGGAATAACATTTTACCGAATGGTCCGATTTAAAAAATTTTCTTCTATCTTTTACATTTTGGTACGTATTGTTAAACACAATAAAACTGCATTTTTACTTTTCCGAAATCTTTAAGGGTGAGGCGCCTTTTAAAATAGTTTAAGGCGATTGTGGGCGTTAGAGGGGGCGTGGCTTTTGGCTGAAACAAACTTGCGCTGCGCAAGAAGCCCAAAAATATGTGTGGCTAATCCCAACTTTCTAGCTTTTGTATTTTCCGAGGTCTTAGCGTTCATAGAAATGATTACCCTATCTTGTGATTTTTCTTGAATTGAGAAAAAAAAGTTTCTTGTTTTTTTTGTGATATACCCTAAATATGACTAAATATGGATATGACTCTTTTTAAATATTTCCGAATTTCAATTTTAATTTGATCAAAATCGGACGACTATATCATATAGCTGCCATAGGAACGATCGGAAAATTAATAAGAAATATTAGAAAATTGAACATTTTTGCGATTTGTTAATTAATAGGAATGATCTGCAAGGGTATATAAGCTTCGGCTGGCCGAAGCTAGCTTCCTTTCTTGTTTTTTTATGTTTTTATAGGCAAATCGGACTAAAAATGAGACAAAAACAAGAAAGGAAGCTAGCTTCGGCCAGCCGAAGCTTATATACCCTTGCAGATCATTCCTATTAATTAACAAATCGCAAAAATGTTAATTTTCTAATATTTCTCATTAATTTTCCGATCGTTCCTATGGCAGCTATATGATATAGTCGTCCGATTTTGATCAAATTAAAATTGAAATTCGGAAATATTTAAAAAGAGTCATATCCTAGAGTAGAAGATAATACAATAAAAATCAAAGAAGCTAGAATTTATTTCCTATTACTTTTCCATTAATTTTCCGATCGTTCCTATGGCAGCTATATGATATAGTAGTCCGATTTTTTAAATAATTAATTCGAAATTCAGAAATATTTAAAAAATAACATCCCCAAAAGTAGAAGGTAATATTTCAAAAAACACCGAAGCTAGAATTGTTTAAAGTTTTTTCTTCCGATCCTTCCTATGGGAGCTATAAGATATAGTTGTCCGATCCGGTCGGCTCCGACATATATACTACCTGCAATAGAAAGAAGACTTTTGCGAAAGTTTCGTCCCGATAGCTCAAAAACTGAGAGACTAGTTTGCGTAGAAACAGACAGACGGACAGACGGACAGACGGACAGACGGACAGACGGACAGACAGACAGACGGACAGACGGACAGACGGACATGGCTAGATCGACTCGTCTTGTGATGCTGATCAAGAATATATATACTTTATGGGGTCGGAAACGTCTCCTTCACTGCGTTGCAAACTTCTGACTGAAATCATAATACCCTCTGCAAGGGTATAAAAAATAAATTGTGCATGTTTTGATATATTTTGGGAGGCATGTCTTAATCGTGTGAATTTTCTGGAAACTGCCTCTCTCTTTAAACGCACATACGAACACCGTCACATACTAGTTAATGCACTTGCTG